TCGCTCAAGTGTTCAGGGATTCCCAACAAAACCCTTTTATTGGTCGTTTTTGCAAAGAAGCTCGCCAATACCTAAAAAACAGGGGAAAGATAGAAACGCTACAGGAAATGGTATATTTATCAAACAGGAAGAGGTGCATGGTTCATGTGCTATATTTATCAACCTGTGAAGGCGTGTCATCAATGGAGACTTTGATAGTCTGGCTGGAGGTGCTGACATGGATCACAACCAGGATGTAACCATTATTAACCTGAGAGAATGAAGGAGGAGGACAGTGTGGCTCAATTTTGTTTGTCAGCCGTTCAGAAGGAAATATGAAGAAAATCATTGATACTAGATATGACATGTTGTTCCTAAATCACCAAGAATCATTGATTCTGAAGGAAAATGCATTCTGACTGCCCGACAAGCATTCATGCAGGGCGCAGAACGAGCGACGCACTTTACAAACTAGTTCAGAGCAGCACCACTCGAAGCTGGAGGCTGCCCACATGAAACAGGAAAATGAGATTGAGTCGTGCCGCAGCGCTGCTTTAAAGGTGTCACCACAAATCGCAGGTCATGAGAGAGCATTCCTCCTTCAGAGTGGGCACGGAGTGGGAAGTGAGAACTTCTTAGCTGACGGAGGTGGTTGGTTGGTTGGAAAATATCACATTTGCAGTTAAAGAATCCAAACCAAATTTTATTTTGTAGTGTTCTAAACTCTTTTTTCCTCTCAATAATCATGGGTGGTCAATCGGGTAAAGAAGGAAGAGAACACACCTTGGAGAGCAGGTGTTCAGGCAGCGGCTTCCGGGTGACCCAGGGGTCCATGGAGTAAAGGCTGGAGTCCCGGTCCGACAGCTCGATGCGTCGCGGCGTCAGCAGCTTCCTGCGGGTGAATTCCAGCTCATCGTCGTGGACGTTGCTGACGTCGGTCACGTCGTAGCCAATCAGGTAGTTGAGGTAACGCTGGTACTGCTGGGACTCGTCTGTGGGCTGCGGCCGCAGCACCAGCTGGATTCGACCCACGTCTTTCTTTAGCGCTATTGATACAAGAAAGACAAGACACCTGAAGTTCCTACCAGCACAGTTTAGATGTCAGACAGGAGGATTTTTGTGAAGTAGTTGAAAGAATCTACATATGCTTAGCTAAAGCCAACAATGTTCCAAACAGATCACAATTGGCATTAAAAACCTTACAAAATCTTTTTTTTTATTTATTTTTTCCCACTACAAAAATGTTCACACAGTCAAGGACGGGCTCTATTGGGTTTTGCGGTTACTCATGTCTGGATGTTTGTAGAGAGAAACCAATCCTTCAATTTTTTCAAGGCATAAAGCATAGCGAATAATAAATAATGCAACTTCTTCTTTAAGCTTTGCTTGCACTCAATTTCTAGAGAGTTGTACCATTATATCTACAAGCCGTGTTAGAAATGAAGAGAGAGAGCCCCAGTGCTAACAGTGTTGACTGAAAATATATGGCAGAATGTAGCTCTTCTTTTATTTCTATTCTGTGGAACGACGTGCAGTTACATAAGCCGCTTTATTGTGTAATAAAACGGATAAAAATGTGTTTAAAACACGTTTTTATTCTGTGGTTTTTAACACATGTTGGAAGTTTTGCTCTTACTTGTGCTAATGTTTTATCGTTTCTATAGTTTTAATTTTGTCCTTTCTATATTTTGAACGTTTATTGCATTTGTCTCTACAGCAATTTAAGTAAAGTAGTAAACGGTAGTTAGTTTTTTCCATGAGAATCTTTCCATTGTTTTCCAACATGGCTGCTTTCTACTGTACTCTGTACAGTCAGAATACATGTTTAGAACATATCTTCGTTTTTTTGTGTGTGTGTTTTTTTTTCCATTAACAGTCATAATAGAAATAGTTTCTGGCTCCAAGAGACAACCAGTACCTCTCCAGTAGCGAATGCAGTCCAGTGTTTGGAAGACCTGGTGCTTGTCGTAGATCTCACACACAGTGCCTTTCTTCTGATAGAGGAGGATGCAGTGATCAGGACAGAAGCGCTGGTAGAAGTCGGGGCAGAGGTTTAAAGACACCGCCTTCATCCACACTTGGGCTTTCACCTGGGAAAACGACAAACGGGTGAAACATGTTTCATCCGTTTGCTGGAGTGAAAGTGGTAAGAAAGAAAACGAAGAGATCCCCGAGCATCCCCAACCTGTTCCACAGTCCAGTTCCCAGCCACCTCCAGCAGCAGAGAGTCGGGGCTGCTCCCACCCCGCGCCACTGTGGGCAGCACAAACTCGACGCTGATCTGATCCATGGAGGCGGAGGAGGCAGAGGTGATTGCTTTCTTCCTCCTCCTCCTGCGGCTCTCTTTCTGTGCCACTTCGCACTCTTCGTCGCTCACCTGGATCTGCTGCCTGTCCATTGCCTAGCTTGGACACAACGCACGCAGTTAATCATTACCTGTAATCATGCAAACACCTTCTCGCCCCGGGACGCAGCGATCTGATCTGTGTGTGGCCACAATCTGGACTAGATTGGCAGATCGACTGGAGTGAACAACGATGGACACTCAGATTATTATGATTTAGTGTTCGCTGCAGGCGTGTTGAGGGCGATCCCACACGAGCGTCTCCTCTCTGTCAGCTGGAACCTTCCAAACAACTCTCACACACATTAATATGTGTTTTCGTATCAAAAAGCCAGCGAACCAACCCAGAGTCATAATATTTCCACCACCATGCTTCCACTAATGTTGTGAGTTAAACAAGATTCTGGTCCTCCAGTACCTTCATACTGCTGGAAATACGGCTTTCTGACCTGGCCGAGGTTTAAAGAGGAGCGAAAAAAGCAAATGAGGAGGATTAGCGGCGCTAATGAACAACTAATGATGTCATCCAGAGTAGAATAATGTGGAATGTGGTCCCTACTGCCTGGATATTGAGCTGTTTTATCGTGACATTGTCATATAGCAACATTCTTCAGTCAGAAGCCTTTTTAGGTGCCATTGCAAGACTGACTGCTACCAGAGATCAGGACTTTTCAGGACATGTGCAAGAAAAAAAAAATATATATATATATATAAAAAGGAATGTTTGTGCAACACCATTCAGTCCCATCCAGGCTGTAATGTAGATGAAGTTCTCACTAAGATCGACTCTTAGTTTCTATTAGAATGTGGATTTATTTTTTGTTGATGGGAACAATGGTGATAATAAACGATGCAGTGATGAATCCATCCATTTTTAAGACTTTTTTTTAAGTCAGAGATTTAGAAATGTAGGAAAATTAATTATTTTAGGAAGTTTTCACATGTATTTCACCTGAAGCTATAATGCATTATTAGACTTTTGACATCATGATGCACAGATCATCCGATGAGTCAAAATATCATGTCTGGTGATATGCAAATATGGTGACAGATTGGGGAGTTTTCTTCATGTTTTTACTCCATTAAAAAAACAAAAACAAAACAAAAACAGCTTGAAACAACTCCTGGATTTGGATTGGAGAGAATGTAAACACCCCAAAACTTCAGCAACATGTTGAAGTTACTTTATTTTTTATATGAACAATCAATCCGTTCAGTGGAGCCCAGAACCACTCGAGCTACAATAAATGCGAAGAAGCCGACGGAGTTTCCCTTCTGCTTCTTTCTGCATCAGCAGAGGAAGCTTTGAAAAGCAGGAAGCAAAACTCAAACAGCATGGATGGCCTAGAATAGATCTCTCGTCAGCTGTTTTGGGTCCGACGCACTTTTAAGTGTAGACCAGAGGACGACAGCGGCTAAGAGTAAAAGCGCAAAAAGTAAAAAAAAAAAAAGAAAGAAAATAAAAGAAAGGACAAAACAAAGACAGAGAAAAGACAACAAAAAAACTAACGCAGCCACCGTAGGAGGGAGATACAGCAGCAGGTTGTGGTGTAACGGTACAGCAGGAAGAGGAGAGCCGTGTGTGGCTGCGCGCGCGCACACCCAAAGCTTTTAATAAGGACTCACCAAGGAACGCAGAAGGCAGCCAACCCCGGAGCTGTCGACGAAGAATTCGGCATTTATGCTAAATGGCGAGGCCCGGAAAGCTTAAATAAAAATCAGCGTGTTCTGGAGTCTGTGCTCCCGGAACTGCTGGGAGGAAACGCTGCGCCTCCGCAGGTCCACCAGAACTTGTCAAACTCGCCGGCTAAAGTTTTCTCTAAACTGAACAGCAACCCGCAACTTCCGCTTTGTCTTCAAACTAAAACACCGCCGCACAGGAAGTGACTCACACCAAAAGCATGTTTGAAGAAGTAGGGATTATAACTTAATTCTTCGGTACAGACAAACTACATTAATAAAATAATAGTAATAATAATAATACTGACGGTAAATATATTTTATCACTTTAAAGCAATGCACCTTTTAAAACAATAACAATACTTGTAATACTTCTTCTACTAATAATAATAATACATTTTCTAAATATTAATAATTAGGTATTAACCTGGCATATTTTTGTCTTGTACTGCTTGCGGCTGAGTACTTTAAATGTGAGTTTACTTCCCTCTTGTGGCCGGGTAAACAATTTTGAGATTTCCATCTAAATATTTTTTTCTTCTCCATCTTACAACATAATGTATTATAACTGTATATATTAAATATGTTCAGTTTTTTGTTTGTTTGTGTCTATTTTTTAGTGCATCGCTGTAAGTTTGGGAATAAATAAACCGCATGTTGCACACCGCCACTGAATAGTGCCAAACTACGACCAGCAGAGGGCGGTAAAAACTCGCCTCGTTCCAGGACAAAACCAAACTGTAATCTTGACACAAACTTTGGAGGTTTTGTGGCCTGGTCTCTACGGCAGAGCACTAAAGCCAATGGGTACACCGAAAATGACCAAATAAAATATATTGAAGAGCGAAGTGTATAGTAATTCTTACTTTAACCATCTTTTATCGAAACTAACCCAACCCATACGTTTCAGAAAGCGCTGGCCAATGAGAAACGCCAACACCAAAGACTGACACCCTGACTGACCAATGGGATAACCAGAACATTATGTTTACAACAACCCCCATTCTCCCTACAAGGCGACTGTTTTGGTGAGTTGAGAAAAGTTCATTGAAGTCTTTTGACGGCTTTTAAATCGCTGAATTTGAGAAGACGTAACAGAGTCGAACATATATACGTCTAAACTCGGAACAGGGGTAAAAACACGAAGCTGTCAGCGCTCGTTTCGTGCTGCAAAAGCGGTTTCACAGCTCGCTCCCGTAAAGCTCTCATTGTTGACGTTGTTTTGTTGCGCTGCGTTTTACGCAACAGGACGTCTTGGCCATTTAACTCGGCCGAGTCATTGTTTCACCTTCCGAAAACCTCTCTCGACCCGGACTGAGCTCGAATGTAACGTTTTTTTTTGGTCTTTCATCGACGTGACGGTGTTTCGCTGCACTTTCCTTTGAAGTCGTACAAAACGTAAAGACTTCGACATTTCTGGCGTTTTTTTTTTTTCCGTTTTTTTTTTCTTCTTTTTGACAACTGGCAGTGTTCCGCCATTCTGCCTCGCCTGAATGCCTTCAACCGAGTTCATTACGTTGCTTTCCAATTGTTATTTAAAGCGGAGGTTCTCCGTCCTTCTCTGTACCGAATGAATGGACTTCAAACGCGCACGCGCGCTGGACCTGAACGTTTATAAACAAGGCGCCGTCACAGGACAATATAGTGATGTAACAGGTAGAAGCGAAACAGGCTCTGTTGCTGTTTACGATTTATGTCACTCAAACCACAAATAAACACTAAGACTGATGCCATATATAATATATATATATATATATATATATATATATATATATATATATATATATATATATATATAAGCAGGCCCATTATAAACTTGCTCTAAACTCTGCGTTTCAGTGACGTCATCATGGTTTGGGAGGTGAAAAATCCACCTCTTCCATCAAAGGACTCCCATGATTGCGACATGCAGCAGGCTGACCATCAGACTCAGTGCACAGGTAGCTAGCCATATATATTGAACACAACACAGTAAGTAATAGCAGATTATATTAAACAAACACACAAAAATAATAATTTAACGTCGAAGTAAATATTCCTGCATAAGAAGCTGGTTAAATAACACAACTGGACAACATTAAAAAGGAAAATTGGGGGGAAAAAATGTTAAATTTAGAGGCGATATGAATAAAAATTCTAGACTAACACTATAAATTAATGAAATGAAGAATAAACAAAGTTATTGTTTTTGTTTTTTTGTTGTTTTTTAATGATGAGATCTAAAGTAAAAGTGACTTAGACACAATTACTAAATTTCAAGTAAAAACCAAGCTAGAAGTGTCAGTTTTTAATCTACTTTTACAAACATTAACACTGAAGGTTGCCTCGGGCCTTCGGTGAGTAATAAATGAATGACACCTCACAGTGAAGTTTCGCTTTAGCTTTCGGTTTCAGTACTTTCCCAGAAGACCTGAGTCGTCTGGAAGGAAACCAGTGAAAGAGCCTCATTAATGCTCAGTTCCATGAGCAGCTCTAATCCTCAGCTTTCTTTTCTCTGCTTCCTTCAGGAAGAATGAGCGCCGACGAGGACCAGGCTCACGATCCGCTACGCTGTGACGAACCCTTCCTCTCCTCCCCCGGCATCCCCACCAGCGACAGCTTCATGGAATATGGTGGCTAACATATGAGCAGCGACATAGCTGCTTCTTTTATTTTTCTTTTTGTTCTTGTTGCTTTTTTTTTTTGGAGTAACTCAAATGTGTGGCTTGCTCTTCCCAGACGACCTGCCGGACCTCCAGGAGGTTCGGGAGGAGCTAACGGCGGCGCCAGTTTACCAGGTGGAGCTCGGTGTGTCGCACCTGGAGCGGCTCCAGCCTCCAGAGACGCTCTGGCTCACACAGCTGGCTCACATCGCCACGGGGCCCCAGAGCCCGCTGCTACAGGACCTGCCTCACAGCAGGTGGGCGCTCAGCTCCACACCAGAAATAGGAACTTACTCCACGAGTAGCAACACATCCGAATAGGGCTTATGATCATTAATTAATTATGAATTCTTCAGGCAATCACTGCAGCCAGCTGCGTTGTTCACTGCTTTCATCAAGTACCAAATGGTGGATATTTTCCAATCTATATGGTAAATCAATGATGTGAAAATAGGCATTTGACAAGTTATCCGCATTTGTTTAATGGCTCTTTCCAAGTGTCAAAACGTTTTATGATCTGCAGCTGAACAGTGAGCAGCTATTTAGACAAGCTGTAAAAAAGTGACTAGAGTATTTTTGGCACTCTTAATGGGGCATTTAAAACACAAGCTGGTATGAAACGTCTTTGCAGGTTTCGCCAACGCGAATATGAGGCTTTTTACGATCTCGTAAAAAAGTCATGACACTGTAGTTTTTTAAGACTTTCATTAGAGTAATTTAAGACCTGGTTCATGACAAAAATGTAACATAGTAGTAAAACTGTGTAAAATGTTTTACCTAGTTTGCTAACCCAAAATCATAGAGGTTACATGATATGGGTTGGAAAGAGAAGTGAGCCAGCGGTACCGACATTCATCGTCGAGTCAGCTGGCAGTAATTTACGCTTACCAATGATGCGTGCAACAAAAAGCTAACTAGCTAGCTGGCAAGGGCATATTAGCAGCTGGTTAGCGACAGCCTTGAGTCAAAGAACACAATGAAGGGGTTGGCACGCAACAAACTGTTGCCGGAGAGAAAGTCTAATAACAAAAATGAACTACATGGAATATGAGGTGAAATAGTCTCGCCATGACAAAATTTAAGACCTACGATTAATATATTTAAGTCCAGCTTACATTTTTCAGAATTATTTTAAGACCTTAAGTTTAGAGACATTAATTTAAGACTTTTTAAGGGCGCATGTAAACTTTAGCTCCAGTAGATTCTTTGGAGAACATCTACATCATGTGAATCAAAGCACCGTTGTTATTAGACTGTGTGGTTGGACACTTTTAGCTCGTCCGCAGTCTGCGTCCCCAGCACCAGCAGCGATCTACACACCTACGCCCGTCCTCCGCCGACTCTCCCGATCAGCTCGTCGCCCTCTAGAGTTCACAGCAGGGAGCGACATCGCAGCAGGGTAAAGCCAAGCTTTATTTACGTTTTGTAATCGGAATTCTTATTCCTTGTTGTGATTGGTGCTAATTGTGCCTGATGGCGGTTTTGTATGTCCAGACGAGCAGCGAGTGTGGCTCTGCCGTGTCCACCAGGTCCTCCCTGTCGGACGATGAGGACATGGGCTGGAGTTTCTCCTGTCCACCCACAGTCTGGCACTGCTTTCTAAAAGGTAGATCTGTGAACAGAACAGTCCTGGGGAGAAGGGTGTGTTCTTCAAAAGGGTTTAAAGTTTAACCCAAAGAAGTCAACTCGAGACCCAAATGTCTCGAGTTAGGAAAAAGTAATTAGGTATTCCACATTCGATTTCCCCATTTTCCTTCCTGTGATTGTGTCAATGACTGTGAAGTTCCTGAATGTGCACAATTATAGTACAAGCGAGCGCACACACAAACTCGCGTTTCCCTGAACTAAAGTCATACAAGTTGAACGTTTTTGCTCCTCTCCAATCAGGAACTCGCCTGCGTTTTCACAGCGGCTCATGTGTGGACTGGCAGGATGTTGAGGACATGGGGTCTGGTGAAGAAGAACGTGCCGATGAGGAGCGTTCAAGATTCCTGAAGGTACAATACCTGTCATAGACACCTCTCTTAACTATTATTAACTCCATTATCTTTTGGTTTTTCTGCCAGTACATCAAATTAGATGCAGAGAGAACTTTGGACAATTAGCCCTTATTTGGTACGTTGTTTCCACTGAGAGATATGGAACGCCATTTTATAGTGAGGCATAGTCAGGATGAAATCTCCATTCCCTGTTGGATTCTCACTGGGCAGATGGGGTTAAACCCAAATGCCTGACATTGTGTCACACTACAAACATCTATGTCTAGTTCTCGTATCAGGGCTTTTCAGTCCCAATCAATAGACCATGCGTGATGACAGCCTAGCTAAGGTGGTATAGAAACGGTGGAGCTACAACTTTCAACTGAAGTGGACCCAGGTGTGGAATGGTTTGGTTGTATGAGCCACTTTTATAATGAAACAAACTAGTGTACCAAACTGTACTGACCCATGCCATACCACTCAGTAGAAACGAGGCACAAAATGAATGGAACATCCTGTCTTGTACAGAGTTATGGCTCTGAGGGCCTGCAGCTGGTTGAGCACGAAGAAACTGTGTCCTGTGGTCAGGCTGTCTTGCAGCTAACCTTTGACCCCGGCGTATTCGGACATACGCCAATTACGGCCTGGTGCCAACTGGATCACCCTTTCTACGTCAAAAACAAAGGTACCAGCACGGGTAACCAACAGTACCAGTGGTGTCTACCAAAGACATCATTGTTCAAGCGCTTTCCTTTCTCTCAGGATGGTCCTCGTTTTACCCAAGCTTGACTGTGGTGCATTATGGGATACCGTGCTATGAAATGGAAGTGGGCGATATGTGCCTGCCTCCTGGACACCGGGATGCTAAGCATACGGATGATTCGCTGGTGTTTGACACATTTAGAAGGTAAAGCAGACTTTTATATTTTGGCATATTGCAGTCTACTCTAGGAGTGAACTTCTATGAGTTTAAAGGGGCTTTGGCAAGCATAGTAAAACAACATGAGCTACTTAGCATTAGCATCGACCGGCCTGAAAGTGTGCTTCTTCTGCAGTTATGACTTCACTCCTCTGGACTCCTCCGCCGTTTACCTTCTGAGCAGCATGGCCAGACGCCGACATGCCTCACAGTCCAGCGGAGGCGCCGTTTCTCCCGACAGAGACACAATGCGAGGTCTGGTAATTCTTAATGTTTTGAGATCAGGCCCAACTTTTAACTCAGACATGTTAATATGATGATTTCTGCCACACAATGTAATGAGACACTGTTTACTGCATTCCAGATAGCCACAGTCCCAGCCATTCCCTTTCCAAACATCAAAAGCCGGCTAAAGCTAAAGCTAAAGCGCAAGCTAGCAGCAGTGCCTCGCCCAATAAGTGCAAGCGGCCAATGAATGCCTTCATGCTGTTCGCCAAGAAGTTCAGAGTGGAGTACACGCAGATGTATCCCGGCAAAGATAACAGGTGGGCGGAGCCACACGACCTTTGTTTTGACGTTGAGGCTCACAAAAATTCTTATGCCTGTAGACTTCAGCCTCAGCTTGGTATTTTCTGGGTCTCATTGCATTTTATTGAGGGGTATCAGAACAAAAGCACGAGGGGTAATACACTTTTGGGATTTTTACGTGGAAAAACAAAGTAGAAATAAATCCCCTTCTACGTTCTACTCTGAGCCGGTCTTGATGAAATACATTTGAGTTTGTGGCAGCAACATGTGAAAGCTACAAGTTAGAGATGCTGTGAATGGGCGCCGCGTGTGCTCATGCGTGTGGTCATGCGTGTGCTCATGCGTGTGCTCATGCTTGTGCGTCTGTGCCACAGGGCCATCAGCGTCCTCCTGGGCGAGCAGTGGAAGAAATTGCGAAGCGAGGAACGCCGCATGTTCACCCAGCAGGCCAAGGCGCTCGCCGATGAGCAGAAGAGACTCAACCCCGATTGCTGGAAACGCAAAAGAACCAACTCCGTAAGGCCACTCCCACACTCACAGCGCCACCTAATGCTTGGCTGACCTACGTCTGATTCACCTCTTGTGTTTTTTTTTTTTTTCCCCCAACAGGGCTGCCAAGGAAATCAAAGCTGAACTGACCAAGCATGTGGGAGCACACGCAGTCAGAGAAAAAAGGATTCAGTACCACATCCTGTGTGGAGCTTATGTGTTTATGAGATTTTCATTAATCTCAGAACAAAGTAAGCATTCAAAGCATGTTTTACAAAACAGAAGTTCCTACAGAGGGGTGCGGCATCTCCCCGAACCGCAGGTTTCAACTCTTGAGTGGCGTTCATCAATTCACAAAATGTGATCTCATGAAAACAGAGAGACTGTGGGTATTTCTCAGCACCTCTCTTTATGCTTGAACCAGGTGGAGGATGTGGTGCTGTAGCATTTTAGCCAAAGCAGTGTAGCCAATTTCTCTCAAATCTATGCCATAAAATAGGATATATGCAATTTATTTTCTTGCCTGTACTATTTGTATTTAAACTATGTTTTATTGCACACAAATATAGGATATGTATTTAGTGTTAGCTTATTTTATCCTTGCTTTAATGCAGCTTTAGTGCATAATGTTCATCTACCACACAGATTTACACCAAATGTAGCATTAATTCATTAACACTTAAAGGGATGGCTGGGGATTTTTAGACCAAGGTTCTGCTGGAGAGTTGGAAGCAGTTAATATCTTACCTACAACAGATAACACGCTTCATTTAGTGTGAGACAACATCAGCTGATCTCAGAGACTAATGCTAATGTCTAGTCTGAGGGCCCAGAAGAACTCCAATCTCCAAAAGGCCTTGAACATGTAGTCTATCTTTCCACTGATTGGCTGTTTTAAAGAACCCGGTTATTATTATTTACACTGATAATTGATCTTGGATGCGGTGCGCCACCTATTGTCGTCCCACACGAAACACAGCAGTTTGACTGAAAGTGATATAAAAGTAAAACAGAATAAACAGTGAAAATATGAGGGGTTTTTTATTTAAAAGGAAAGTTATTGTATTGTAGTGTTAATTTTTGAAAGTACATTTTAAATTAGCTTTAGCCATAGCATTTGGACTAAAATGGGGTGAATTTCAGTCACATTCAGGTCATTTTAGTTTGGCTGTAGCATTAGTCAACTTATATTTGACCATAAGTATCAGGATCTACAATATGAAGTCATAGAGGAATGCATTTTGAAGAACCTCTATGATTTTGGGAGCATCAACTCTTTACTGAGGTGAAATATTTAATGTGAATTGAATTCACATGGTGAACTTTGCCTTACACAGACAGCCCTACTCCCCTCCAGCTGTTAGCTTTAGCCTCCAATGCCAAGAAATTCACCTTTCAACTCAAGAAAGACACCAAAAGGTGAGACATTAGCTGCTCCTAACGCTTCAACAGAACCTCACATCAGCTGTCTCCTTAAGGTTTTCGTATAAAAGGTGACGTGTCTTGTTTTTTTCCAGTGTAAGTGAGCAACAGTTCTGTTTGAACTCCTCAAACATTATGACGCATTACGATATCTTTTGAGTGCATTTCTCTTTCCATCAAACATCTGCAGAGCCAGACTTTAAAGCTGCACGTCCAACACAAGAGCGCCGGTGCAGAGAATAAGCAAAACTGACACTGAATCCTGCAGGGGACCTTCAAAAGAAACGCTTTACTTCTCAGTGTTTTATGTTTTGTTTTTACAAGTTCCAACCAAAATCACGGCGACGCCACACATTTACACCAAGTCCATCGTCACCTTTATGTTCTATTCTGTTTGAATTCCTGTGAGTGGTTTTTGTATTTTGTATATCTCTAGTCACTGTCAGGAAATTACAGTGAACTCTTTGTATAAGACATAAAAAAAAAGCAATAACTGGATTTACATGCCCTCTTTACCAAATTTGTTGTTCCAGTGAAACCAGAGGCCAATTAATTTCGCCTGAATTTTCAATTTAAAGAAAACGAATTAGTGGATAATGAGACATCTAAATAAAGGAATGAACATAAAATCAACTAACATATTCGCCCATTAGCCCAGCTGGGTTTAACTTGTGATAGAATTAAATATATATTTTTTTTATATATAATCGAGAAGAATAATTTAGAAAATAAAATAATTGTGTACAAGTGCTACAAATAAGACATTTACTTTAGAACACATATTCAGACTATCTTAAAAACCTGCATTAAAATAGCATTTATGAAACCATAAGTCTTAAAATATTTTTGACTCGATTGGAACTCCTTAGGAGGGTGTGTGAAAATCCACTTCCCGCGCAGAGGGTGACATCATTCATCCTCTCGCCGCACAGCAAGGGTCATTCTTAATGCACTTTATCTTCCGAGACTGCTACAGTATGTGTCATGACGAATATTAAGACTATTGCAGAGAAAAGTATATTTTTGTGGTTTGAATTCATCTTTAACCTCTTGTGTCGGATGACCTCACGTTTTGTTCACGCCGTGGCGTCACGTACAGCTCAATCAGGGGGGAGATGGTGTCATGTAAATCATGAGTAAATAAAAGGCATGATAAACCTCCTGTTTGTGGCTGGGTTTGTTTTTGTGTTCAAGTCGAATTTTTGCTCCACTGCTGTTAATGCGTTTACATGAGGATATTCTAATTACAAGCTTTGTTTTCACAGTAAGGGCACATTACCTCTCCACGCCTCTAGTTGGTGCTAGGTTTTTTTTAGTTAGTCCGCATACACGCTGCAAACGCAACAAAACTCGACCACTTTCACCAGAAACTGCTGTCGCGTAAACAGGGCCTTCAACTGACTGAAACACAAATCAATCAGAGTCAAAACTTTTGAAACAAATCTTTTAATTTTATGGTTTGACATAAACACTTCCCCAGTTTGTTTTTTTTTAGCTGGAGGTCAAAGGTGAAAGACACAAAGCTGCTACAATAATCAAGAGGGATAAAAACATTCTCCAGAACGTTCAATTAAAACTGTAGTCATAATCAACATTTCCAGGCTAAGTTCATCAAATAGAATCCACAATGGAAACAGCTAGAAAAATCAGCTTGTGTAGTAAAATAGAAAACTATATAAAGGTACAGTATAAACATACAGTAATTTGGCCTTGAAAGGGGTATTTACATGCAGAAGGTGAGACGAATCAGGATCACAGTCAGTTCAGAAAGTCAGCGACGTTCCTGCATCTTTACAAAAGCGCAACAGTCGTAGCAGGTTTCCGCGGGACCTGCTGGAATACTTAGTTACTTTGTTCAATTTGGGTTTTTTTGTTTTTGTTTTGCTTAAAGTCGAAGAGAAATGTTTTATTTTTTTTTAAATCGGTCTCAGGTTCTCGCCGCTACTTGTGCTGCTTGGATTTCTCTTGAAGTGCTCAGCAGGCCGAGTCACAGCGGAGTACGTGTTGAAACGAACCAAAAGAGGTTTAATGTACAGTAATGTGATTTACAAAAGGCACTGGCAAGGAGACAAAGTAAGCAAAAAACAAAGTGCAGCTGATGTCGTATCTGCCGTGTCGTGATTTCTGCTCGTCTCATTTCTACAGCGTCAGTCTGCTAAAAACCCGACGGAGAAAAACTGATTTGCAAAAGAAAAGTAACAGGGAATGGAAAGATTTACAGGATACACTTGGAACCAGAAGTTGCTAAATGCCACGAAAATAGTAAAATATGCCAGATTTTATTTGTTTTAAATTGCAAGCATACACACATTTCTTCATCATTTGGCAGCATTGCCTCTGAACTGTTTGGTCGTTTGCATTAGTCTGGCCCATTTCTGTCAGATGTCAAAGGAAATAAAGTTATGGTTCAGTGTATGTAAACTTCTGGTTTCAAGTATATAAATCTTCACATTTCTCTAATCTCTCTTGTTCGGTTAAATGCACAACAGCAGATAGAAAAGTCTTTTTGTGTGAGTTTTTTTTTTTGATGAAAACAAAATAGATAAATTTGCCCAGTCGAATCATTTCAAAACCTTTTCCACCTTTAATATAACATGAAGGAAAAACCGAAGGGCACGCCATGAAAGGCTTTGTGCTTCTCTAACTCAAAATCAACAAAACTGAAGAAACTGAACAAGTTGAACTTTTTCTGAGAAAGTGACAAAAATGTCTAGAATAACATTCTCCATGTAAAGTTGAATCACTTGAACAACCACACGGTTTGAGGAATTTCCAAAACTTTTTAAATGACTAAAATATCTTCTTTGTTTTTTCAAAGATTAGAAAAAACCCACATTTGGACATAAGTTTGGTTACCTAGTTGTGTAAGTATATTTAAATCCTTAAGCACAGCGGGGGGCAGAAGCACGTTTTGATTTAATCCAGCATTCAGTCAAATATGAAAAAACTGAAATTTTGAAAAGTTTTGCATTTCTGACAGTCTTCAATCCAAATTTCTGTATCACTTCAGAAAACAAAACAAAAAATCTGTATAACAAAAGAATGACTTCACAGAAAGAAAAAAAAAATGTTTTGGACCAAGCAAGAGCATAGAATGATGTTTGACAGAAACCATTTGTGTTGCCAAATCAACATTTGATTGGCAGACGTCAAATTAAAAGGTGGAAAAAGTTTTGAGGTCGTTTCTCGTCGTCTCATTTCTTAAAATTATAACCAGCATCAGTTTAGATAGAACAGGTAGTGAAGCTGTTTTTGGTTACCAATCTGTGACCGGCCTCTTTATCAAACGACGGCGAATCACCATTTAAAAAGAAACCGTCCTGTTTAGATGCTGCTAAACACTCAGCAGCATAAAAAACAGCGACGGCAGCCTCAACATTTAGAGAATTCAAACAGCATGGCTTCCTTTTCAATACTTTCATATCTCACTCCGACAAAGTCCGGATCAAATACACCCAGAGAGAATCCGGTGAGAAAAACAAAGTTTAACACAACATGATGTCACTGCAGATCTTTTCATGATAGTTTTTTTAAAATGTGTGTATTAGGCCTCTGTTAATTCAAGTTTGACTGAAACTGTTGGTTCAAGTTTTGGCTGGTTGCCACTCAACATTACAACTGTGTCGTGACCTTTGACCTGCGTTGTGTCTTCGAAACATGTCAATGCTACGATCAGAACTTTTGGATTAACTGCAGTATTTTATCTGCCACATGGGGTGACTTTTTTTTTCTGTTGCTTTCAAGGCATAAGCAAAACCAAAACATAAACATTTCAACCTATTAATTTATTATCCATGATTATTAAAAGAAACTTTAGGGTTAAGGTCGACAACAAAATCAGTAAAATCATCACTTTCCATTGGTGCATCATGACATGATGAACTGCTGTGCTCCGTTTTCAGATTATGAAATATGTAAAAATAAAAAATGTTTAATAAATGAGCATTTTAAATAGCAAACGGCTTTTTAGATGTTGCTGGATTTCCATCTCCCTGTGATGAGCTGTTACTGTTTTTGAACGACAGCTGAAGAGTATTATAATAAACTGTTAGATTTGACCAAGTGGACATTAAAGCATTATGATGCTCACTTTCCACAGCCATGATTGGCCCAGCCATCCATCCCATCCCAGCACATGGGAGTGTGGGCGGGGCTACATGAGCGACTCCAGGCTCTCTGTGGCGTTGGACTGGCCCAGCGGTACCGACCCGTTCGTCTCCGGACTCTGCAGGGCTCGCTGGTCCTCCTGGCTGCTCACCAGGCTCAGCATGGCTCGGTACAGATACTGGTACTGCTCCTGTGGGTTGGTTGGGAAAAATCACAGCTTCTTACGTAACAAAAGTAACCAAAAATAATGTCGATTTTTAGATTGATCTATTTATTTTGTGCACAAACATGTAAATTCCATTAATTGTTTATGTTCTGGTATCAGTAAAGTTTAGGACAACTGTTTCTCAAACTGTGGTCCCCAGGCCACTGATGGTCCGCTGGTGCCCCCTAGTGGTTCTTAATGTACTGCATGTGAATAACTGTATTTACTGCAACGTCAGCTCAAAGTGTGCCGCTATGTTGGCTTACAAAAGGATTGTGTTTAAAAACAATAATGGATGATTGGCTAAAGACAATGAGTCGCTCAAGTGAAATTGCACTCAGCTCATCGCCGCTCCAGTACTTACAATGTCATTGAAAACGCCAGGTCTCATGAGGTTGGTCATCCGGGCCACCATGTAGACGTCCACGGCTCCCTCCTCCTCCAGCTGGCTGAACAGGGTGCTGAGGGCACAGAACAGCCCTGATGTAGCTCCTCCCAACCTGCACGCAAACACACATTTAGTTCCTTAAAGGAGTCCGACCGTTTGGGAATCCTCTCCGTGTTTTACTCACGGATCGTGAACGACTACGGGTTTCTGTGAGTGTCTGCTGCGCTCTCTGACGATGCTGATGAGGTCGAAGCTGTTTCTGATGGGACTGTCTGGGTTAGGCCAGCAGGGGGTGCTGTACTGACGTACGTGTAAGATGCAATTGTTCTGGGGGGGGATGGAAGTATGGACACTGCATCAGGAATCATTCTATTGGAGGATTTGATAGTAACGTGTGTGAGAGTCTATCACCTGAGGAGACTGCATTGTAAAATCCTGCACAAAAACTCTCTCATCATTGGTCAGATGTACAAGCTCCTCCCCCGTGTGAGACACGGTGAATCCATCAAATCTTAGTGGCAGGTCTTTACTAGGCCAGTAGACACAGCAGTCCCTCTTTTCATTCTAGAAAAAACAAATAAATAAATGCAGCTGGATTAATGGAACTCATTTAGTCCAGAAGGCAGAGTGTGAGCAGGTCCCACCTGATTGTGTGTGTCCGGCAGACAGATGACTGTGTGTGAGTTGTGCTCCCAGATCATTCTCCAGAAATCCTCCACAGTGCTGCTCAGAGGAGTCTGACTCACGATGAAATCTTTACAGCAGTGGTGTCCCTGTAAAAACAGGAGCAGCAACACTGAAGAACTCCGGAGGGTTTTAAAAACAGCAACTAACAGAGAGACGTTTAGAGAAACACCAGGGCTTTACTGACATTCGGAGGTCAAAACGCCACGGTATTACGGCCAAAATTAAAACTACAGCACCCTCAGCGGTGGCTACTCCCCTCTCATAGGCAGCTATATCTTTTCTGAAGCTAGCTACTGATCTGCTCTTTGATCGGCCAACGCTGGTAACTGAGTGACCAGCGCTGGCAGATCAGAAAGAGAAGACTCATCTGTGTTAGCATCGGAGAGGCTAATGATTAGCATACTAAGGCTAGTTACCCACTGGATTGCCTACTTCCTGTGTCCCTTAGCATTGGATAGGCTGGTGGTAGCCTAGGCTCAGTTACAAGTGAGTTGGAGGAATGCCAGATGTTAAGTTTGTAATATTATATCATGTAAACATTAGTACAATCCTGTTTTACACCAACTGATCCACAGTAAGATGCCACTTCAGCTCCTAATACCAAAGCAGAACTAACATTGCTACTCATACTGCAACTCTTCAGAATAATCCTCCTAAATATTACACAAGACAAACAAGTGTTAAAGTAACAGTAAAAAGTCACTTACAGTCACATAGGAGGCATTGATGTAGCCAGAGGAGTTGGATTCTGAAGCTGCCAGAGAGACTCTTGATCTCTCCACTAGACAATAACAGAAGCATAAGTTCACAGGAAACCAAAATGTTTTGCTTGATTGATCTTTTACATGATTTTGACATGTATCCACTTTAAACATCATCATAGCTGCAAACTCTCACTGTTCTGAAGTGAGACTGAAGCTTGTCTTTCAGGTTTCACTCTGCCCAGATCAATTTCACTCCACAGAAGCAAACTGTCAACCATGCAAAACATGGATTCTACACTGCTGCTTGGTCTCACAGATCCCACCTGGGCTTTTGTTCTTTTTCCAATGGTACATCACAAATATCACCATATTACATCCAACTATGGTTACTGGACAATGTGGCGGTACACATGGGGTCTTCTAAGTCTAGTTTACCAGGCATCAGGGCTCTTGCTCTGTTCCTCTCAGCATTGCCATCCTTCAGGGCAGTGCTGTAGTCTGCGTGCTTTGCCTGACGCTGACTTATCAGCTGCAAGGTCAAGAGGAACAGTCAGCTTCAGAACGATTGCTTAGAACCGATGGAAAAGGAATCAAATTAAGGCCCCACCTTGAACTGTTTATCCATGCGCGTTCTTCCTGTGGCACTTGGGATCAGGAGCTCAGAGACGTAATTGTGGAGAAGGTCAGAGGTGACTGACGTGTCCCGACTCAGGATGGCCTCCACCAGAGCGTCATGGATGAACACGTACTGCTCCTGGGAAATATGGAGGAACAATGAAACTGAAGGTTTGGAACTTTGTTGTAACGGGCAGCTTGGTGTTTAATGCTGTGTTTTAAATCTCAGACATTTACACCAACAAAGGATGACCTTCGGGTAAGCTGACATTGTCAGCCTGAGTCACCCTGTCACAAGTGTGTGTTTACACCTGACACATTTGGTCTGCTTTAAACAGAGCAGAATATTTCCCCTATTGGTCCGGTGCAAGCGTGAATACACTCAAGCATATCCTGGTGTGGCTCAAACAACCAAAACCACCTGAAAAAATGGGTCAAGGTCCGACCCAAACAAGCTCTGCGGTTGGCGTCTCTTGTGCAGACAGACCTGCATCAAGACCAACCAACAGCAGGACACATGGGCCGCCGTTGCTGGGGATCATGCGTTATCCATTCATTGTTCCTAACACTACTACTGCATGGATTGCCCTGAACAAACAAGCGGACCAAAGCTGGATTCCCTAACCCCCTGATGTAAATATACCTTTAATCTCACTCTAAGCTATGCTGTGCGCACAGATGAACACAGCATAGCTGAAAGTTTGAAACTGAAAGTGAAACTGACAGCTTGACCTACATTCTGATAAGTTTGGCCAACAATTATCTGGCCACTTGGAGCATTCAAAGAACCTTGAAATGTTGTTGCCAGATAGACAATTGATCTTAAAACATGAAAAAATACCCTAATGTCAATGAAAAAAGCAGCCCAACGTCATGAAGCAGCAGAAAACAGGATTTCACAACCTTGTGACAGGATATGACAGGACATGATGCTTCACAAAATCATCTTACTGTCCTAACATTGAAAGCATTCATAGGCAGGAAAGAGCATCACCAGATGCTTAATATTAAGGGATTATGTGGTGGAGTTTGACTGATTTTACCTCCGTCTGAACCAGGAAGTTCCTCTGTGTCCGGACGTGTTTTAGGAAGCCCAGTACGTTTACCGTTCCCTGATCCTGGATCTGCTGCAGCATGCTGTCTATCACTATGTAGGTTCCTGTTCTTCCAACGCCCGCGCTGAAACAGACAGATTGAGAAGAAGATGCCAAATTTGCTGTCATGTTGTTGATGATATAAGAAATCGTGTTCAGCTCTACCTGCAGTGAACCAGGACGGGTCCCATTTCCTGCGTCCGGGCCCGAGACGACGCCCTGATGAAGGACAGCAGAGGCAGAGTGTACTCTGGGACGCCCATGTCCGGCCACTGGGTGTAGTGGTAATGCAGGACCGTGTGCTCCACTTTCTTCTGTGGCACCTGGAAGAACAAATGAAATCAACTATTTAACACTGAAACATTGCAAAGGTTCAGGCTCTCTGTGTGATAAACAGAGATAAGAAAAGTGCATATGAAGTACCTTATTAGCTGTATCTCTGACTGTGAATGTCCGGAGTGTGTAGTACGCTAGAGTCTTGGTGCTTCTCAGAGCCACCTGGTAAGCGCCGTACTCCTCCTGGTTCTCTTCCGGCCAGTACTGGTCACATTTTGTCTGCAGAGGAAGGAGGAGGCATGAAGTCCTGACCCGGCGCTGATCTTGATGGAGACCTCCAGTGTTTGTGTCGGGTCTTACGCGTCCTTTCTCCTTCAGATTGGTGATCATGACAATGACTCCAACGTTCTGCTGCCAGATCATCCTCCAGAAGTCCTCCCGACTGGCTTTCAGCGGCCCCTGAGCCGCGATGTAGGCCCTCGTTCGCTCGTAACCCTGCAAACGCAGCAGCAGCAGTTGGACCGTTTCGCTAGTGGTAGCTTCAGCTGTGACCCTAAACCCAACCTAACGACTCCACTGTTCTCTGCAAACTTTTTGGCTTTCAGATTAACAGTAAAGGTTCCTACATCTTCCTTTTTTTTTCAAGAAATGGAAAATACAGACTTTTTTTTAAAATTTAACTTTCGTTAGATTTTACTGTCTTTAAGAAATAAAGTACTGAATTTAACCATGAAATTATGAGATATTCTTTTACAATGGTCAGTCTTGAAATATGGGTGCTTGGATAAACAAAAACAGAAAGAAAAAAAAAAACAAGAAAGAAGGAAAGAACAAGTAATGATGTAAGGAAGGGAAGAAAGGCATAAATAAGGAGAAAATTAAGAAGGGACACATGGAAGCAAAAGAGAAAATTATTAAGGGTTTGATGAAGAAAAAAGGATGGAAAGGCTCAATGGAGGAGAAATTACAGAGGTTAGGAAAGAAAGACAGGACTGTAAGAAGAAAGGTAGGAAAAGAAAAGAAAAAAGAAAGAAAGGATAGAAGAAATCCAGAGAAAAAACATGATTTCAGATTTGAAAAGCACAATGAATATAAAAAATGGAAAATTCACGTGGTACACAAAAAGCCACACGTATGCATGTGGATTTGGAACGTTTCATGTGTTGTTATTCTGCACAACACAATAGAAAAAAAAGAAACTTTTCTAAACCTTGAAGCAAAACCAAATAACCGTCTTTATGTCCACATAAATCAGTGGTGCCCAAAGTCAGTCCTCAAGGGCCGGCACCCTGCATGTTTTAGTTCTCTCCTTGGTTTAACACACCTGGATCAAATGACGGCTTGTTAGAAGACCTAAGAAGAACACTGACATGCTGAAAAGGTAACTACCACCAGAAAGAGAACTAAAACATGCAGGATGCCGGCCCTCCACGACCGACTTTGGGCACCTCTGGTGCAAATAGTTAGAAGAAAATCCCTCACGTCGACAAAGTTAGCGTTGATGTAGTCCCCACAATTCCCATCTCTGTCCAAACTGTTGGAGAGCTTCACTCTGCTGTGGTCGTCTGGGAAAGGAGAAACGGGCGGTTAGCTGACGCTCCGCCTAAATGCCGACTGATTGCACTAACAAGACACATACAGGCCAGGATGTTAATGTAGCGGTTCTTGTTTTTGTTGTCGGGGTGATTTGAGTTGTCGGCGGTGATGCCCATGTCGACTGTGCACGCCTGCACCTCCTGAAGCACAACACAACCAACGAGAAGCGGGCTCAGCTGAGCAGAGCAAAGGTCAATGTAGACACAAACAGAGTGAGCCTGCTCTCAGTTAGCTGAAGAAGAACGGATGTAAAACTCCGTTAACTCAAATCAGGGTTGCTACGGTAAGCTGATACGTTGCCTTTCCTTCCCAGAACAACAACAACAATAAAAAAACAGACGTTCTGCAGCACAGGGATGGAGGGGGGTCTTACCTCATACGACTCTTTCACAATCTAATGGAGGGTGGTGAGGATGCGGAAAGCACGACGATGGTGGTGGAGATGGTGAAAGGAGAGTGGGGCAGAGGGACAAGACGACAGACAAGGAGTCAGTGCAGGTCCTGGAATGAAGGGTTCAGATCCACACAGAGCGGAGGCGCCGAGTGGGAGTGGGGGCACACCATCCCACCTGAGCCGCCGCCTGCAAGCTGGCAGCTACGTTAGCGACGGTGTAACGGTATTCTACAGGGCGGGTGAAACGAGGCCTGGGCCTCCTAATAATTAAAGGGATGTAAAGCAGTGGTAGACTATGTGGAAGACAGAAACACTGTTGCACAATGGGAGGGAGACACGGGGCACCAATCAGTGCCTTGCAAATGCCTTCATGTAACCTGGAGGTTTGTCACTGAGTTACAGCCACAAACTTCAGTGTGTTAGCACGTTATTGGCAGATGAAAAGGAAATGTTTCGACAAAGAAATGTACAGGATTTATACTCCAATAATCTTTCCCAGGACTGATGAAAAATAACATTAAAATGAACCAAACCCTTTGAGAAACCTGTTCCACCCCTTTGCCTGTGGTGGCGCTGCACCAAGAACTATAAAGTTCTTCTGAAGAAGAGAGAGCACAAATTCCTTTGTCACAAAATGTCAACCAATGGAGTGGCGTCAGATTTTAGCAGTTGTAATATTTAGCTTCGGAAACTTTGGAAAAGATAACAAGGTATTTTTCCCCACTAGTGATAGATATGCACGTTTGCTTTGGTTGTATTTACCCACAATACCCTCCACTTCCTGTTTTTAGTGAGCTTAGCATCCACATTTGAATTTGAAACGAACAAGAGTTCACTTCAACCAACCCGAGACTTTGATTTACTTTTTTGGTTCGCATCAGTTTGATTGTGCTTTCATACGTCCGCAAACGGAATGGAGTTTGATTAAAGTGGACTAAACAGGAGCTGAGTCCGCTTTAATGATGGAACCTTTATCTGGTTTCACCAGATTTTAGCAGTAACAGAGTTAAGGGGGCTCAACATATATTTATAAAATCTGCTTTGAATTCACAATTATGCCCAGGTTTGTATAACATAAAATGACAATAACAAACTAAAGCTTGTGGTTGGAACATGTAAAAAATGAGAAATTTAGGGTAATGATAGTTTTGCAAGGCACTGAACACGTTAAAGAATCAAATCTGCATGTGTGTGTGAGCGGATCATGTGTGGAAGTGTCAAGCATGCAGATGTATCCTTGATTCATTCTGAAAACCACCATCAGGGAGTTTTCTTTGAACGCAAAATATTATCTGGCTGCCAAAAAAAAAAAAAAACTTCCCTGCAAGTTAAAGCATATCTTTCTGCACACAGAGTCAAATTAAATCCTAAAAGCTCATGATGTTAAAAAGAAACATGGATGCACATTAGGGAGCTGTGACAAATCATTCCACCCGTTTTCCTTTCATGTGGATTTAATGTGACACACCTCAAACTCCCTGGAGAAGGTATTGGTGCTGTGGAGCTCCAGGACATGCTTCACAAACTGCTTCACCGTCAGCGGCTCGTGGCAATCTGCGACACGAGACTCTCAGTTTGTCTCAGTGCTTAAAGAGGTGAAGAGCTAGAAAACCCCCTCTGTGTGGCCTACCTGTGGAAAGCAGCAGGGGCGTGGAGGGGACAGACAGGACTTTAGGCGACGCGGGGTCATCCGGGTAGAAATTGGCTGCCTGGAAACAGTTTCTGGAACCAGAGACATCAAATTGCTCGTGAAAAGATGGTCATGCGTGATGTGGAATAGACCTGGTGTGTGTTTGTACCTCCAGTAGATGAGTATACCCACTAGCACCAGCAGACAAAGAGTGGTGAGAGTGGAAACGACAGCCAGAGGAACGACTGTCCTCTTGTCCTTCTCCACGCCTTCAACCAGCCCCACTCGAGACTCATGGCTGCTGTTGCTGCCCTCTGAAAGAGACAAGGAAGTCCTACATACTCATGTTGCACATCAGAAGTTTTGCTACCAAGAAGACAAGAATGCATCATTCTGTCCTCATGAAGACTCATGTTAGTTTCTTAAAGAAGCGAACATCAGCCTTCAGCCCATAGGGGGCGACAAAGCACCACATAGAAACAAGTTGAAGTGCAGAAGACACTCGTGGTATAAAATGGGTCAAATCAAACAACCTCCAAACACAAAATAGTGTCATATTTTATTACTTTAGACCTTGGACTTCGAGGAAGAGGATTTAGAAAAAGAAAATGGTGCTAAAACAAAAATCTGACCATGGTCACACAAAAAGACAGGTCCAATCTGTCTTTTTATGTCAATCTCAACTGCAATGACCGTCACTTTGTATATGAAGCACAGAGAAATGTGAGACTTCATCTGTGAAAATATGTGGTTTCTTTTCTTAAAAAATATCAACTAAGGAGACATTACAGCTTCTTCCCTTTTATTTCAGACAATACAGCACTAGCATTTTGCCTTTCTTCTGCCTCACTATAAGTGAATAAATATTTCAACTGAAAATATGTTTTTTCTACTGTTTTAAGTCTTTGTATTTATAAATTAATGAGCTGTTATCAAGCTCATTAATTTGTTCAAAATGTCTTGTGATTCTTGCCAAAGACAGTGGAACTCCTTTTGTAATCAGAAGTCTGAGTTTAAAGTCTACAAAAGTCTTGGAAAGACCTCTGAGGCTTTCTCGCCAACTCAGATCTGTAGGGCGAGTCTGAATTTCTGATTTGCTTATTGAAGTCAAGAAATTCAATGCAAAAGACAGAGACTAACAGTAACTACATTTCTCTTTCTGACCTAATTAAGTCTGATGGATGAGGTAGACTCACATCCGCTAAACTTAAACTGCTTTGTAGTAAAGTTTTGCATTTACTGCTGCACTTTCCGAAACCTTTCTTGAAAGAGACAAATTCAAACATTGTGTCTCAGTTACCTCCCTTTTGTTCCAGTTTCCCTTCTTGAGTGTCAGTGAGCCTGAGCAGAGGGAAAAGATCCTTCAACACGGATCTTCCTGCAGTCTGAAACGACCCAGTCACATTTGAGAGATGCTCCAAAGAGTCTTTAGAAGCACTTCCATGAACAGCTCCTTCTGCAAGTTCTTCCTTTTCAGTATATCCCGCTGTTGTATCAACACTAGACCTCAGTCCAAAACCTGGCCTTTCCAGAGTTGCGTTCTGATCCGCTTTGCCATTCCCAACATAAAGATTCTGGTCATTGGTCACAGACCATGCTTGGTCTGGTGTCGATGTGTCTTCCCCTGATGTCAGCCGATGACTGACTACTTTTTCAGATCCTAATACTTCATTTCTGATGTGTGTTCTGTTTCCCTTGGACACGAATCTGTTTTTAAGTACAGCTTTGAAATGTTCCTGATCGCCATTGTCTTGCTTTGGATTTACATGATCATGGGCAGTCGCCTGTTCTCCAGAACCACTGCCATCCTCAGCCCCACTGCCACTCCCACTACACACCCTCCGTCTGTGTTTAGGGTTCTCTTTGCCTTCAAGACTTCCAGTGTTTCCCTCTTCAATTCCCTCTCCGCTCATCTCATTTCCCTTCTCACTGTCCAGTTTCCTACTTACCCCACTTTTAACTCCTGCTGCTAATATTTTACTTTGAGGCACAAAGCTGTTTTCTCGAGTATAATTCACATTGACACCAACAGCTGAACTTAAGAATGTTGAAAATTTAGGCTGAGCTTCAGCAACTTCATCCATTTCTCCACTCATCATGTTGCTGTCATGACCAGAGCCCGATCCACTCTCCTCTGTCGAACCCAAACCTTCAGAATCAAGTAAAGACATACTTAAATTAGCATAAACCTCATCCTCATTTGTATCTGCACTGGATCCCTCTTCATCGTTGTGAATCAGCTCTGACAATTCAACAATGTTTTGACTCCTGATGCCTGTCAGAGAATTGTTCGGACTGATTTCTTCGTGGTGGGATGTCTCTGCTAGCTGGGCGGTGGCTGATCCATAATTAGACAGCGAAAAGAGAGAGTTAGTGGTATTTACCAGATCTTGGGAACTCAAAATAGTAGAGATTGGTAGATGGTCTAAATTTGGCTGTGAATAGTTCAACAAGTATTCCAGGAGGGCAAGAGGGAGATGAGAACTGTTGGTGAATTTGGTGAGAGGTAAAGGTGTAGAGAGTTCCCCATCAGAGACAGACGATGTAGGGTCTATGTCAATCTCTGTCAGGGAGCCGGATGAGTCTATGAAGCCAGAAAACTGGTCAACTGTTGAATCCTCAGTCCTGGATATTGGTGTATCTGCTGCAAGAAAAGCCAAAACAGAGGAATCCTTTTTCAAATGCTACTTTTTAAAAATAAGAATGGGTTGTTGTTGTTTTTTTTACCAGTGCACATTAGGCAAGTCAAGGAATTGCTGCTTGAAAGTGAAGAAATGCCAGAAATCCTTAAAAGTTGAGACAAAGCAAGGTAGCAAAATAGAACCCACTAGAGAGCACTGCTGAGCTACAGAAAAGAACACAGATGTAGATCAAACCCCCAGCAGTAGATGCCAATCACCAAGCTTGAGTGAGTTCAAGTAGATTATTATGAGGCAGGAAACTCGGACCTCTTCGAGAAACATGCGGCGCCATTTATCAGAGTCAAGCAGATTTCATTCAGAGCCACTTAGAAAAGCTAGAAGCCCCTAATTATCACCCAATCACAATCAAAGTCTTCTTATTCCTCATGGCAGCCACTGGAATCCTCCCCATCATGTCCCTCTGATCACAGGGCACAGCACTGATTAGATGCACAGACGTGGGTCATTGAAGGCAGAAATAAAAGCACCCACTGTAATCTCAACCCGCCGTTTGCCCATCGATACAATGCTGTTGAGTAAAGTCCCTCAAAATGAAAATTAATAGCCATTTATAAAAGGAACAGGATAGCTTAATGGCATGTGTGACTTTCCCAGAGAAAGGGTTTATGTCTTACCATTGAACAGGGACTGAGTGGTGTGCATCAGCCCTCTGAGCAAAGAGGAGGTGGTGAAGGATTTATAGAAGGAGTCGGACAGAGTGTTGCCCCCTGTTGCCGTGTTTTCTGTTATCCACTCTGAGGTAGGGCTGGCTGAATCTGAGGTAAAGGATGTTCGCAGAGGTTCGCTTACGGCGGCGCCACTCTCTTCGGGGTTCATCGTCGAGTCTTCGTGCACTTCGTTACCTGTGGACAGAAAGTGCATGAAAATGATGTAATACAATGGAACAAGATGGGACACCAATAAGACATTAGAAAATAAAATTAGCTGGGCAACCCAAAGAATACCAACCATCTTTGCAGGATCTGATTATTACATACACCCTGAGATCTTATTCATCAACACCACTCACAGATTTGGAGACGAGGAGCAGCAGCGGTTCTGACGGAGTCAAACTCACACTGGAAACACGCTCAAGACACTGTCCGTCTTTACAACCACAATCTTAAGCTTTACTCTGAATCCCTCTAGGATCAACGAACTTCTCACTCTGTCTTTAAGGGACAGCCCAGACACCCTGAGGAGGAAACTTATTTCGGCTTGTACCAAAAAACTTGTGGAGACCAAACTTTTATATTGGCTTATAAGGGACCTTAAGTGTCGAGTGTCTACACCAACGTGTCTCATAGACTTAGACTTAGAGACTTAGACTTGACTTTATTGATCCCTTGGGAAGACTCCCTCAGGAAATTATAGTTACCAGCAGCTCACAGGCAAAAATGTGGCACACAGTAAGCATACACAAAAGAATACAAAAAATACAAATTAAATACAAACAAAGAATAAATACAACACAAAAGGAAATTATAGCAATTTGGTGGATAGATTGACCAGTGATATGGTATTGCACTGTATGGTTTGGCCTGATAAATATGGAGTTCACATTTGTAGAAAAACTACTCCTTCTTCCCTCTGTCCTGTGTCACCTCCGACCCCCCAGTGAGGAGTTGTACAGTCTGAAGGCGTGGGGGACATCCCTAGCTTTAAGTGTTCAGCCTCTACCTCTAACCCTAAACAAAGTTTGAAACACACTTTTGAGTGATCACAAAGATGGAAACCAAAATTAAATTTAACCTGGAACCACAGAAGGAGATTCTGTTGGAAGGTAGGTGATGACCCCTAGTGGAGAGCCGGTGACTGTGTCTTCATAGAAGACATCTGTGACCTTGATGTCCTCCACTGGGGGGGTGAACAGCTCAGACTTAGTGGGGGGATTTTCATTAGCCTGTTCTGGTAGATCAGGATCCAATGGCTGTAAAATGAAGACAGTTAGAGAAAATGTTTAGATTGAGACAAAATGGTGAAATCTTTTATCATCTCAGACCTGTTTTAGCACTCAGAGCATTTGATGATTGGTAACAAAGTACGTCCTGACCTGAGGTGACAGGATTGACAACGACGCCTCTTCTGTGATTTGTCGGCGAATTGCAGGTGGCACCGTTGTCCGAGCAACTGGAAACAAAAGGCCTGGCTCCTCAGTTATCCGGTTAACCCAAATCGCACTGGTGCTGTCAAAACTTGGACTTGTGAAAGGTGAGCTCGCTGGAATCAGCTGATCGTCCTCGATCCAGTTCTGGTTGCTTCCATGAGGGGTCAACCTGTTTGAGCTTGCTTTCTCTTCCATGTTCTCGTCCGGTACAGCTTCTTGTGGGTTGATGGATTCAGATGCCGTCTTTGGCGTTAATTGTCTGCCGGTCTGGACCGGCATATGTTGGTTTATTTGGGTTTGATCTGTGGCCTTTTCCTGATGTTGGGTAGGTTGGTTCTGGTAGACTCTTGTCTGGTCAGCAGGGACCTCCTCCACTGGACTGTGGTCTTCTGAAGCCACATCCAGGTGATTCTGGTTGTCTGGTCTCTTCGGTCCAGTTATAGTTGATCCCTACACAGACAGAACCTTGTTTGCCTCAACATCCTTTAGAATGGCCTTCAGATGCTCAATAATAAGCTACTCCCAACTCAATGACACTCATTTGCATAATAATTTGCGGATGTGACTAATTACACTGCAGATGTGAACAAAGCAGATGGAGAAATTCAGCCCAGTTGCAGCAAAGCTAACAGACTGTCCTACCTCCCTGTGGCTGTCTGCTTCCTTTGTCGCCATGTCGGGGCTGGAATCACTTTCTGGAAGGACAGGGACAGAATAAACACTGACCATAGCGAGAGCGAGAGGTAAAAAGAGCTCCTGTGTCGGTTCATACCGGGGTCTTCTAACGGCATGTCGACTATAATCTGATCACTCCATCGTCCTTTGAGCCCATTGGTGCAAATAGCCACCACCTGAACCACGTAGCTGCTATTAGCTAGCAGGCTGGAGATAATGGCACCCTGAGAAAAAAAAAAAAAAGAAAATTACAAAATGAATCATTGTCAAAGCTCTTCAAGCTTTTATTCATGCCACACATTTCTGCTTGGGCTGAAGTTAGTGCTTTATGCAGGTCAGTCAAGAAAGTTCACTGTGTTCAGGTTGTTCCTCACCAGGAGAGCCATATGTTTTAGGTCACGACTTCTTCCATCTTAAAAAGACTCCTGCTAGCGGGTAGCCAGTGAAGGCCATGTTCTTTGGATTATAAGCAATGTCTCTGTCGTCACAGAGCTCTAGTTTCGCCTCATCTGAACAAAAGACATGCTTCCAGTTTACAGGGTTTCTAAAGGCGTCTCTTTGATAATTGTGTTTCAACTGGTTCGCAGTTCATTCTTGTGAAGAGCTCCAGTCACTGTCTTTTTTAGATAATTCCTAACTTATCATCCCATTTCACAAAACACTTCATGGAAATGACTGATGAGGCAAAGGTAACAGGGTACTGATGCTATTTCCATCAATTATCCGTTGACGTGTCGGATGTTGCGGTGAGGTCAGCAGATAATGGAGCAAAAACAACAGCTGTAATTACAGTTACCACTTTAACCACTATTTTCCCCACCCACCATAGAAAGATCCCTCCTACCACATCTTGGTCTCCGTCGGTCCTGTACTCTTGTTTGTTCTGATCCCTGCCCTGAAGCCTCTGGTAGGTGACGGTGTACCAGTCGATGGTGGTGTCGAACACGGCGCGGGGGCGCTCCCACGTCACCACGATGGTGGTGTCGTTCTGAGCATCAGCCTGGACGTTCTGCGGCTCCGAGCTGCATGCTGGAAACGGCAGAAATGAATATTTTCTCTTAAAACCTTGAATAATTGTGTGAGTCTTCAAAATGTGGAAATAAATAGCTGACACCACCATTGGTGAAACGTCCTCATACCAACAATGTTTTCAGAGGTAATATCAGAAGTTCAGTGACTTGATGGAAAAAAAATAAAAATAACAGAACTGCGTTTTAAAAAGCCCAGTTTCAGAGTAAGTGTCACATTGAGTATGTGCTGCAGGTTTGTATTCATGCATTCATGAATTTGCTACAAGTAAAAAGAGCCTTTTTATGAATATATTCAGAAATTTTATGAAAATCTGAATATGTTATTTCAATTTCTAAAAGAGCTACAAATTAAATAGCCTATCCGCTCATCGGCGCAGGAACCGCGTGCTACAAAGTGGCAACGATAAAGATTCTCTTCGCTTCTGGGTCGACTTTATGAAGGTGGAGAGTGTCGAGGACCTTTTATGATCAAAAAAGCAGCTGACCTCAAAGGACTCAGAGTTACACAGAAAATCCTGAAAATTTCTCCCCAAAATGTTCAGAATTTAAAGTGGTGAAAAGCTCTACTTATTTTTATGCTACAAAATGATAATATGATGCCTCTGCTGGGAGTTTGAAGTGATGTCGGTTGATGTACAGTTTCCCATTTTGGTGCTGAATTGTTGTAGATCTAAACATCAACCAATCACTGAGCAGGAAATCACACTATGCTATCCTGTGACCTTTTTCATCTGGGATAAAGCAATAACAAATATTATAAAGTGACAAGAAAAATATTCAATTAGTCCTGTTTGTGCGAGGTAAATCAGAAAACTTTGGAATCAGGTGATGACATACTGGGTGTGGGTACGTCCTCCACTCCGGTGTAGGAAGCAAACACCTGGCCCATAAACTGCTGCTGCTGCTCCCTGAAGTTGTTCTGCAGGTAATCCGTGAGCATCACATACCCGGCCTGCTCCATGGTCATCACCTCGCAAAACACCTCCAGCTGACGGGGGGGAGGGAGAGACAGAAACACGGGCATGAGGAAAGGTGAGCCTGAGTGGAACATGTTTCTGCTCTCCATGCTGCCACCAAAATAAACCCCCCAAAAAAGATGCTTAAAGAGGCTTGTGTCGCTCCCAGGCTGCTGTTTCTGGTTTGCATGATTGTAACTGGATCACGTTTTGCTTTCCTGCTTCAATCACGAGCACGTTCACACACGTAAACCACACAGCAAACCTCTGCTTGCTCTCCATTATTCTGCAACGATGAATAACTGCTACGCAGCGTCAAAGGGAGACTTTAGTCGTCTTCAGTGTGAAACCCGACCGAACGCTTCACAAAAAGAAGCAAGAGCAGCAGAAACAGTCTGTTTGCGAGGAGATCTTGACTAAACCCGTCACTTTACATCACTTTAGTGCAACATGTTGTCTTTGTTTATGATAGCAGCAGCTAACCACCAACAAGCTAAAAATCAACGACCACAGCTGGTTCCTGTTGCTTTCAAATGACTGGTGAATGCCTTCAGTGTCACTGACACACACAACGAGATTGTCTTTATTATTTATAAAACTGGCGCGATATTTATTTTTTTGTGCTTTAGCTAGAGCATAAAAAAACAAATATCAGAAAAATCCTGCAAATACAGACATATGAAAAAGTTTTGGCACCCCCATTAATCTTAATTGTTTTTATTTCTAAATATTTGGGTGTTTGCAACAGCTATCTCAGTTTGATATATCTAATAACTGATGTACACAGTTACATTTCAGTACAATAAATGAGGTTTATTGTACTGATAGAAAATGGGCAATATGCATAAAATCAAAATTTGACAGGTGCAAATATTTGGGTACCCTTTTCATTTAATTGATTTGAAAACTCCTAACTACTTTTCACTGACTTACTGAAACACAAAATTGTTTTGGCAACCTCATTAAGCTTTGAACTTCATAGCCAGGTGTATCCAATCATGAGAAAAGGTATTTAAGGTGGCCGATTGCAAGTTGTTCTCCAGTCTGGATCTCCTATGAAGAGTGGCATCATGGGCACATCAAAACAACTCTCAAATGATCTGAAAACAAAGATTGTTCAACACAGTTGTTTAGGGGAAGGATACAAAAAGTTATCTCAGAGATTTAAACTGTCAGTTTCCACTGTGAGGAACATAGTAAGGAAATGGAAGACCACAGGGACAGTACATGTTAAACCCAGAAGTGGCAGGTCAAGAAAAACATCAGAGAGGCAGAGAAGAAGAATGGTGAGAACTGTGAAAGACAACCCACAGACCACCTCCAAAGACCTGCAGCATCATCTTGCTGCAGGTGGTGTCACTGTGCATCGTTCAACCATTCAGCGCACTTTGCACAAAGAGAAGCTGTATGGGAGAGTGATGCAACGGAAGCCTTTTCTGCAAGCACGCCACAAACAGAGTCGCTTGAGGTATGCAAAAGCACATTTGGAGAAGCCAGCTTCATTTTGGAATAAGGTCCTGTGGACTGATGAAACAAAGATTGAGTTGTTTGGTCATAAAAAAGGCGTTATGCCTGGCGGCAAAAAAACACAGCATTCCAAGAAAAACACTTGCTAACCACTGTGAAATTTGGTGGAGGTTCCATCATGCTTTGGGGCTGTGTGGCCAATGCTGGTACTGGGAATATTGCTAAAGTTGAGGGTCGCATGGATTCCACTCAATATCAACAGATTCTTGAGACTAATGTTCAAGAATCAGTTACGAAGTTGAAGCTACGCCGGGGATGGATATTTCAGCAAGACAATGATCCAAAACACCGCTCCAAATCTACTCAGGCATTCATGCAGAGGAACAATTACAATGTTCTGGAACGGCCATCCCAATCCCCAGACCTGAGTATTATTGAACATCTGTGGGATGATTTGAAGCAGGCTGTCCATGCTCAGCGACCATCAAACTTAACTGAACTGGAATTGTTTTGCAAAGAAGAATGGTCAAAAATACCTTCATCCAGGATCCAGGAACTCATTAGAAGCTACCGGAAGCGACTAGAGGCTGTTATTGTTGCAAAAGGAGGATCTACTAAATATTAATATCGCTTTTCTGTTGAGGTGCCCATATTTTTGCACCTGTCAAATTTTGTGTTTATGTGTACTGCACATTTTCTTTTAGTCCAATAAACCTTGTTTCAATATTAAAATGTTACTGTGTCCATAAGTTATTGGTTATATCAAACTGAAATAGTTATTGCAAACATCCAAATATTTAGAGATAAAAATAATTTAGATTAATAGGGGTGCCCAAACTTTTTCATATGACTGTATATCTGAGTTCATCAGGTTCACCACCACTGATAGCAGCGGTAAACCCACAATGATATGAAAACTCAATCATAAAGTTCCTTTCAATAACCTGGTATCCACAAACTAAAAACACCCAAAACATTATTTTTTTCCTTCCTATTTAGTTAGATTTTTACTTAAATTTTACAGAATATCTTATGTGTAATGGGACAAAAGCCTTTAAGTAATTTCTGAAAGTTTCTTTTTTTTTTTTCATCAAACACCAGGCTTTTTAACGTGTAAACTTTGAAGTCACTTATTATTACAATAAATATCATAAAAATATTCTAATTCCACGTAATTTTATTAAGGTATTTTAAAAAATTCCCCATTTATGTTTATTGTTAAGCAATAAAAAAAATGCAACAAGTATAAGAAAACACTTCTCATCCCGACATAAAAATTTCACATATTTGGTCATTACATGACCAAATATCATTATGTTTGTCCTTCCTAAAACTACAAAAAACAGGCCACATAATTTGAGTGCCTGACCTGTGCTTCTGATATGGCCGCCGTGTGTTTAAAGACGATCCACTCTACAGATTCAGAGCAGGGAGGAGTGGTCAGCGAGCCGTTGTAGATGTAGTACTTGTCGGTGACGTTGGGCAGGAGGGAGCTCAAGGTGATGGCGTCCACCGATCCACTCTTACCTGCGGAAATAAATCACTGGAGTCAAACCTCAAATCTTCTCATTCTGCTGTCTGGTCTGTTTATGACACAGAATTTCTGTAGGCAATTCATTCAAATCGTTATTTTAATCAGAATGCTACAATGCTACATTAAAAATAATATGAACTAGTAGTGAGTCTTTTTTTTTTTACCATATCGGTATCGGTCTGCTAAATAAAATGTATAAAGTATCTCTAATTATTGATTACCAGTCATAGGAACGATATCCATTTCAGATACTGATATTAGCCCAAAGTTTCATATCTGTGCGTCACTAATAATAACCACTTCGCATTATTTTAAATATTGATCAGGTGTAATATACCCCAACAAAAACATAAATATATAAATTTGTATTATACCAAGTAGTAGAAATAAGTGAACATTAGCGTATGTCAAATTTCTGAATGAATCAAACAGGAAGTGCTTTTACTTTGCAGAACCATTGCTGTCTTAATATTGATGTTCATACAAATGTAAATATATTTACAACTATAACCGACTAAGCAGTTAAACAATATCAAGAATAGAACAAAAAAGGCAGTCAACAAATAAAATGGCTTAAAATAACAAATATCACCAGAATTACCTGATACATTTCAATTATCTACACATAAAAAGTGTCTTATGTTTGTTTTTCCATGTGCTTACTTTTAATCTGTAGCAACTACAGATTAAAAGTAAGTGGACTCAAGATAAAGCTATAAGCAGTATGTGTTTTATTGTAAAATATTTGTCATCTTCATCTTTTGTAACAAGCTCAGACTTTTCATGTAGTGACCTACCATATCTGCTCACACCACTGACTGCTTCCACTATAGGACTGAAGTTTCCATTGTCCTCCTGGCTCACCTGGAAATGAAAGAAAGATTGTACTGTTGCTTTATTTGAGGCGAGGTGCAGAAACAGGTAGGTGGTTCCACAGTCAGGCCGCCTCACCTCAAAGAGAACGGCCAAGGCGGCCACCCTTCCTCCATTCTCCATCACGTCGTCTAAACTTTGAAATTCGTTGGGATTGTAACAGTAAATCTGCATCTGCGACACAGTCAGAGTCAACGTCAACGCGACAGGAAGAAAACATGTGGCGCACTGCTGACACTTACCTCCAGAGGGTATTTTATCCCGTTCAGGCTGTGTTCAGACCCATCTGATGTTGCATTGCAGCGCCCCCAGTGGAAGCTGAGTCTGGATACACGAAACCTGGAACTCAGCCCTCCTCCACTTACGAAGAAGTCCCCTCCCAGGTTGATGACCACTGAAATTGTTCAGAAAAACAAATGTTTAAGCAGAACAACAACTTCATCTTAATGAAAATAAATTTACTTAATGGTTCATGAAACAAACCAGCAAGCCCCAATCAAACTGAATCTACTGGATTAGCACATGTGAAAACACCCTGAGATTCCCAAAGCACCTTCCCCTACACAGGTACACCCTGAAATCCAAATAAAGACCACTGCAGAGTCTGAATTGCAGCAGAAATGATCTTAACAGTGTGAGCAGTTGAGCTGGTGTGCAGATTTTTCACGTCATAAGCCAAGATATATTTTCACATCACTAGACGTTCACTTGTGCTGAACCTTTTAAACGTTCAGTGATGCTTAACCAACGTGCCGTGTATCCTGACAGATTTTTATTCCACTAACACCCCAATAGAACCGTTATATAAAATGTAGTCTTTGTGTGTCTCTCATGAGAGATATTTAGCTCTGGGAGCTATATCTGGGAGTCAGGGCAAAGAGAAGTTACCTTTATGTGTGTTGTTCATGCAGCCGACTGCACTCATGGAGTTGAAGCAGCATTAAATGTGCCACTCTGGGACTATTTGCTGGGAGAAGATCTTCTTTTCCCACCGAAGCAATTGTTTTAGGTTAGCGTGCCCACGACGGTATGAATAAATCAATGAACTAAGCCAATAGCAAGTAGTTCTCACAAGCTTCTCTCATTAAAGCTCTCAGATGTTAAGACATCAATATGAAAGTAATTGACACAAAAAATATGTTGCATTAGCTCCTAATTTTGCATATGCCATTTATCCAACACATTCAGCATTTCTACACAATTTCTCAGAAGCGACAGCCAGTTGATAACAGTACTTCACGTCATGTTGTTTGGCTGACGAAGATTTACTCACATCGGCATACAGAACGCCTGAAACGGAAGGCATGTGCTTTCTGATTAATTTGAATTTATTTTAAATTTGAAGTTTCATTTTCAGACACTGATGTCTTTGCAAAAGTAATATAGCTGTTCCTGAATGCAACACTGAAATCCACACCCTTTTGATCTCAAAGGACGCAGTAATTAGGATTTTATTTATATATTTTTTTCTGTTTCTTTCACCAGATAAGTTGGTTGAGAACTGTTCACAAAGCATCAAAATGAAAAGACTCATTCACCATAATCCCCTTCATAACACTTGACTTTTAATACACCAGCATGTATGACAAGATATGAAGCAGTGTAACAGCAGTTTATAGGCTGAGTCGGTATTTCAAAAGCAAATTTTATTTTTTACAATTACACACCAGTTGAGTCTAAAACTGTTCCCTCAAGTCAAATATTAAGATTTTAAACCTACTTTGCTTTTATGAAGGGTGTCCTAATTTTTTATGAACACTTTGATTTATATGGGTATAGAATTATACCTAGTTTTTCATACAAGCTGTGTGTGATTTCTGCCATTTTCACGTTCATACCACTAACATACAATGCTCACACAGAGGCACAACACGGCTTGCCGCTCAGACAGTATTGCAGAGATGGAGAGGATAGAGTAGCTCAGACAGCTTTCATCTGTTTATCACTTCAGACATCACTTCACGTCTCTTCACATCGTCCATGCTCCCCCACTCGCTTTCCTCCCTCCTGCTCTTTTCTAGTGACTCCTCTCTTCATCGCTGCCTCTCAGCACTGATCTTTTCTCTTTTCATTACATGATCCCTCAGTCGGTGCCGTCTCTCTCATTGCTCTTCTTGCAATTACATAGTCTCTTTCGCTTCTTGTTTTTTTCCCCAACAGCTCACAGTGTCATTCATCTTGGAGCTGTGGGTCATTTCTTTTTTGTCTTTCTTCTTCTTTTTTGTTTTTTTGATCGGGCTTATAAAAACTTAATCCTTCTACCGCTCGGGATTACCAAGTCTCGTTTTACACAATCATTATATCAAAAATATGCCCATATATTTACACGGTGTTAAAGCTGCAGTATGTAATTTTTATTAAAAAATGTGTTTTTGACATATTTGTTAAAATCAATCAATCTCATGTAATCACTGCTAAATGCGATAAAGGTGGAGAACAGAACAGAATAGAATGCCTTCATTAGTCCCTCCAGGAGGGAAATTGACATTTCAATGACAGCAAGTCCGAAAGAACAAAAATAAAAACATAAGACATGGATAGATAGGTGCCTAAGGCTGCAGCCATGGGAGGCTCTATCCTTTTGTGGCAACTTAATGCTACAGGAAAACTATTAATTCTACATAATTGGTGGCTGTGATAATTAGCCTTAGCATTCATAACAGGACCTCCGAGCTTCAGTGTGGCATAGAGCAGGGTGAAGAGGTGATTGGCAGCACTAAGACTCTACTTCTGGCTCCGATTGGTTTATTTGTAGTTAGTTCACAGATTATGTCTCATACCATACTGCCACGACATAGAAATTATTTCAGGAAATATTTAAAAATCAATTTTTTATTAAAGTTACACACTGCACCTTTAAGTACGGTGCTTGTACAGGAAAAATGAAGTTGTAAAGACACTGGCTTCATGAGGTTACACAAGTTTGAGGATTCGCTTAAAAAAATGTTCTTTTTGCGATTCTATGCTTGTGAAAGAAGGCGGTTTTAAACATACCAGTCTTCCCATTGTTTTGGATGGTGGTGGACTCCGATGTGGGTATGTGCCAGCCCTCCAGCTGCAGGTTCTGGAACTGCATCCGGACCTGGGTAAACATCTCGTCGATGTCCACAGGAGACTGCCGGGCGCCGTTACAGGATGGGTAACTCTTCCCCCAGTTCTGCTGGTTCAGGCTACCTGTAGGTATGAAAACTAGCTTAGTACCGCTAACAAAAAACAATAATAAAGCAGTGCAAGCCCACTCACATTTGAGTTCAAAATTATTAATACCTCCGGTAGATTTTAGATTTAAAGTAACCCATTTCTTCTTGCTGTGTGTTTATTTTTTTGTTTACATTTTCTTTGTTTATCTGGCAATGTGGTGGTCCGAATCGTTGTCTGAGTTCCTGACAGATTTACTTTCACAAGTGAAGCATTAAGGCTTCACTTTTATACATATAAAAGATAAATATTAGGAATTGCTTTGTGCCTATTACCAACGTAATGGAAACAGATATGAAAAAGAAATGGAGAAAAGAAAAGTACAAAGCTGTGGAAAAGATTTAAAGGGAAAGGAGATATGAGGAGAGAAAGAAGCATAGGGAGAATATAAGTCAATACCCTAAAAGTCTGAGAGAAAACCCCCCGACAAACGACATAACTGAAAAGTACACAACACTAGTCTATTTGAGATATATTTAGCAGCAGCCGCAGCTCAATATGGAGCGAGTGCAAAACCATTTAAGAACAGAGACTTTGGGATTCCAGAGAACCACAGTGGGAATCATTATCCACAGATGAAGACGTGGAAAAGTGGGGAGCTTTTTAGTGTCCAGCCTAAAATTACTCCAAGAAAGCACTGATTATTTATCCATTAGATCACGGAAAAAAAACAAGCTCAACATGAGAAGCACTGCCCGCATTAGATAAGATCAGTGTTCATGAGTCAATAAGAAAAGATACTGGGCAAAAACAGCATCAAGGTTGAAAAACAACCAAAAATAAATAAAGAGTTCCCCAGATGACTCGACGTTTGGAAACATATTATGTGGACTGATGAAACAAAACTAGAACTCTTTGGAAGGCTGTAGAAAGAGTTTTGAGTTTTTACTGCAGAAGAGTAGAGTTTTCATTGTGATTATGTGATTTTGTACATTAAAAAGTACAAAGCTGTAGTAAAAACGCCTCATGCTTTCCATTGCTTGAATTAGGAAAAAATGGGTCTTTTACCAGTAGTTTGAGTATGTTCCCACTCACATGCACCAGCTATGCTCACAGCAAAGTGGCACAGAAACGAATCCAAGGCCGATGAGCCGCTCAGAGAAGTGGCAGGGGGATATTCTCTGAACATTTTTTTTTTTAATGTTTATGACTAAATGAGCTTTTGGCTGAATAATCTTCTACATGTTTGTCTTTGTTCTATTTTTCATTTTTTTCAAAACGGTGCAGCGCGGCATGTGCTGGAAGTCACTGATGCGGTGTTGGCGTGTGTGGTTTTGTGTTTTATAAGGATGCTTTTCACATGAATTATGTGAGAGAAGATGAACACATGAAAACATGGAGACAAACCAAACTCAAAGCCAAACCAGTCAGAGGGCCGTAACATTAAAGACGACGCCAGCGCGCTTCTTCATATGTTAAAGCTTCATTAAAAATGAACCTTATATGAAATGCAACAACACACACAAAAAAACCCTGTAAATAAAATATGAGCACATGTCAATATTGTAGGCTCTTGGCTGAAATTCCAGACAGCGGTTGTGTGTGTTTGTGTGAATTTATTCATGATAGCGCGCCTGATCTGCACCTACATTCAGTCACATGATCACAGCTGTCTGCTGGATGTGTACGGTTTCGTTCATTATGGCTACACATTCGTGTTTGTCGGATTGACACTTCTTTGAGATGTTTTGACGTACACCTTGCACGTTAAGGTGTGTTTCGGTTCACCTCAGAAAGATCAGGATATGGGCGTTGACTAGGCCTTTACTGTGTATTACTGCAAGATCCAGTTCTACTAAAGGTTCAGTCTGGTTCATTGTACAAGGGACCCATACAACCGGCTTGTACGACACCATTCCTGATCCCCCTTCAATTGTAGGTCTGTAGGACAATGGTATGGTACGCTTAGAGTGGAGCTACTGCTACACAACACGGTCCATTGATTGTGGGACAGAAAAACATTATTGCTTGATTCACGAGACGTACTGGTGCATCACGTTCGTCGTCGCACTAGTATGACGCCACGTTAGATGAGTGGACTGAACCCCAACTGATGGTGGAAACATTCTCCTGAATTGAACAGAATCCCAACCTCCTACAGTCTTCTCTTTGAAGGCAGATCTCACCACGATGCTCACGTTCACTTCAACGGTTAAGAGCAACAAAATAAACGTCAACGCTCTAAACGTTGGAAACCTCCTTCAAAATGATGAGGAAAGATGAAACAGTCATGTACAGCTGATGACTTTGTCAGTATTGGCAAAAACGTTATCAATATGTCCAAATATGTAAAAAAAATAAATAAATACTAAATTATAGGTGTCCTATTTATTTTTTTCAAATGACTGATTATAAAGTTAAATAAAAATGAACTCCTCCTGTCCTGACATGGCTGAATAATACAATTACACAGCTAAATCCCTGTAATTCATGAAGCCTATGTTTGTGTTGTATACTGTGCTACAGTGTACAGTAAAGACAATGGGCATAATGAGGTCAGAGACGATGGTTCAGCTGTCACTGGCTTTACATTCCTGGAAGTGGATGTTTGTGTGGACGATAGAGACGTGGGCAAAACAGGCTTCATCTTGGATGCACTGCAGCCTTTGCAGGTAGTTGTATTTGATGTAGCCCAAGAAATCAGAGCTCAAAACATTTTACATATGTAACTAAGTTGTTTTTGTTGCATCACGAGGGGGAAAATCATTCAGGTTTAGGTTCTACAGGTGCAACGACTCCAGTTTTCTGGATAATTGCCGATCCTTAAAAAGCCAGACCTGCTGGTCCTGATTTTGACCTTTTTTTTTTTTTTTTTTTTTTTTAATGGTCTGAAATGTTGGTAAATATAGCAAGAAGATACTGTGACAACAGAGGGGTGAATATTGTTTACCGTGAATGTGCAGAGATGAGTTTATGGCTGGTTCTGTCAGTCAAGCATCTCTCACAGCAGAGCAGAAGAGGAGAGTGATTGATTTTTAAACCTTTGCATGAGATCAATGGACGATATTGGCTTCACATGAAAGTATCGGCACATGCACCCCTATTAGGTTCTTATAAAAAAATGCAATTTAGGAAGAAAAATTCAAACGAAACCAAAAGCGGCTCAGAAATGTCCAAATACAACAGTTTGACAGATACATCAGACATGATGCAATCCTTCAGTCTACTTCAGCTCCAGCTGCAGAACGCTGCCTCCTCCAGCTCCTAATAGCTGTCAGTATGTTGAAAATAAAGAGAAAGAGCACAAATGTAGAGTGGGAACAACATCAGCCTACCAAGCAGCTGAGCTCACATCTCTTTCACCCTCCTCTTTACTGGACAGGCTCAAATGAAGAAATGCTGACAATAAAAGCGACAACCTCAACCTTTCCCCTGCCAAAACTCGAATTTCTCACAATATTTATTCAGGTTTTCTGTTAGGGAACAAAGCCGTCCAGCTGTAATAAAAGGCTTCCACGTGTCCGTCTCCACTTGTGCTCTGCGTAAAATAAACACGCGAGCCCCGAGCGCACATGCTGCGGCGCGTGAGGGGGGAAATGTCAGGAGGGTGTCAGCGGTCAATAGCCACATCTCACCCCTACAGCTGTATCTGTTAGCATCGCCTCACACACACACACACACACACACGGGTCGAAACATCCGCACACACCGAGCGACTCTGCTGACATAACGCTGCCATGGCAACAAGTCGCTGACAGTTTGAAGACAGGAATAAAAGGAAAAGAAAAAAACCCCAAAGCCCGACTTGGATGTCACTGAAGACTGCTGCGCTCGTTTAAAAGCCGCACCGCCTCGCCTGGCGCGCGCTGGGAGAAAAATGAGGACGATTCAGAGAGGAAATTACTTTTCAGGTCTCTTAAGTTCCGTGTGATAATCAAGCGCGGTCAGACAAAGAAGTATGGAGATGCGTCACCAGCGCTTCTCCAAATCATACCTTTTTTTAAATTATTTTTTTTACTTGCATTCAGAAAATTTGAATATTATGAGCCCTCCTTTTTACTCTTCAGTTTTTGTTGTAAAGCGTGATCGCTCTGGCTGTGTGTTTAGGATTATTGTCAAGCAAGAAGGTGAACAAGCCTCTGATAAGTTTCCCCCCCAATTATCTTCTGATCAAAAAATATATGAAATCTCCCATTTTTTTGGTCTCGTTTAAAAACAAAGCAAAAACGAAAAACCTCCTCTCCCCTCTCCATGGCATGATCCTGCCACTATTAGTGACGTTCCAATAAATCAAACCCCATTTTCTTAATTTTGAAATTGCCATCAGCTCAGGCTTTTTAAAATAAATAAATAAATCAATAAAATCGGTGATCGGCCAGGAAACTGCAATCAGTGCACCCAAAGCCATTACCGTGTTTCACAATCAGACTGGTAAAATTTTGTAAACATCAAAAAGAAAGTGAATTTTTCCGTGTTTTAACAATGATCAGGCATTAATATGAATAAAATATTTTTCTTCTAATGCGACAACAATTTCTCTTTATCCTCGACACCCTTATCCTTTCAGGTCTGGGTGGAGGGGCGGGGGGTTAGAGGCAACAAAACAGAATGAGGACCAAAAGGGCGAGACAAGGTGATGAAGGAAAATATATTAAAAAAAAAAAAGCCCCAGAGGAAGGAACGTAGTGTAGGAAATGTCACATTTCCTACACTACAAATAATGCAAATACACACGCACACACACTCACACACACACACACACACACACACACACACACACACACACACACACACACACACACACACACACACACACACACGACCCATGTGTGTAATGTGTGTTTTCTGCCACTCAGAGCTGACGTCACCCTCTGCGTCTCCGCTCTGCTGAGTGAGGTAACTGTTCAGAAAACAGGGGAGATTGTTGGGTTGAATAATGCAGGGCTCGGAGGTTTTTTGGGGGACTGTCGGCTCCTGTTTGCTTCACAGTTGGCAAAAAAATAGTTGAATATGTATTAAATATTCAAATGAGAGGC